AGTTGGAAGAATAGGAAAGCAACATATTTACACGTTAAAATAACAATGCTGTGGTACAGGGAATCTGGATATCCTTGTAAATGACATGCAGAGGGCTGAATTTTTCCAAAAAAAATTAAATGTCAATTTTAGCAAGTTTTACTGTGGTCTTCTCTCCATGAGGTAGTATATACCCTACCTCTGCTGCTTTGCTTGTGCTACTTTGTGCTTACCAGTGATGAAAATACTTGTCGCAGCTGGGATCTTCTAGGATTTATGCCACCGGTGTTATATTTAAGCCCAGCTATGCACTCGGTCAATTGCTGCAAGCCATGAATTGCCCTCCTTTGTCCTTATCGTGGGAGAGAAACCGAACACCTACTGAGAGCACGTATGTGGCATGGGTGACACTTCACTGGAAACAGAAGCTCACATTCACAAATGTATTGCTACTCTAGATGATCACCTAGCTGTCTATAACTGCACATACAGAAATCAAGCTTTTAATCCTCTGCCCTACACCATGTTATACCCCTACCTCAAGCGCTGTATTTACTCTCATAAAGCCTAGCCTAACATATTGTAATTTTTCACCGTGTATTGTGCAGTGCACTTGGGAGAAACCATCCCTATTGGTGAATCCTACAGCTGAGGCTGTAGCACTGACATGGGAAACAAGATGAAGTGGTATAATGTTTCTCATAAGTAACAGCCTTTATACGTTTGATGAGGATTGGAGATCTTTGGAAGCCATCAGTTGCGTAAAAGTTTAATGTACAAGTCACCTTGATAGCCATTAAGATAGATGGGCCGTTCACCCCTTTAGATTGTATGGCCCAGATCCAGATTTGTAATGGTAGCCTTGGACATCCTCAGTCAGCAGTGACAAAGGGCCTTGCTCATTTGGAGGAAATGGCATCAAGCTCAGAAGACTGGGCTTCCTGTACCATTGCTATATGTAGAGGAGATCCTTTCATTTCCTATTTTTTCGTGGAGGCTGTTCAACAGCCACTGGAAATTGTTGCTGATCCTGGGATTGTTTATTCATTTGTTGCTTCTCAATTTGTCTGTGCTTTGGTTTCATCACAGCCACGGCGCTAATAATATATTTTGTAGCAGGTGTCATGCTGCGCCAGTGTGGTCTACTGGATATCAAGTCCCCTTTACAAAGGTTAAAAGATATTCTTCAAGTGCACAAAATTCCCCAATTTGCCTGTCTTTTTAGACTCAGATTGACAGACAGCACAGTAGTTCCTGTACTCAACAAGATTTACTATTTATAGCAAGTAAAAAATTCTAGCTACAGACTGAGTGTTGACACATAACTACTAGTTGAAACTATAACACCAATCTAAAACTCCCCCAACACATGCTGGAGACACTAACTGGAGGGAAAAACTGGGAAGGCAGGTCAGTCATTCCCATCTCCAGGGTTCACTGAATGATCCTTTTGGTAAGACTTCATGTTGGATGGTCTCTGTCTCTTCTCCAGTTACTGTCTTATGCCTGCAAGAAGCACAGAACAATTGTGCACAAGGTAAAATGTCTCTGAATTCTTTTTAAAAAAACAACAGCTTACAGCAGCTGGCAAAGGAAAACTAAGCTGGCTTTGTCCAGGCTTTAATTGTTGCTTTGATTGCAGAGTCAAAGACAACACTTTCCTGAAGTCTGAAGGCTCCTGACTATCCTGTTCTGACTTTCAACCTGTTCAGTTACCTGCAGGTTAATTGCACAATCGTCGGGGGTGCGAAGGCCTTTGTTATTTAGTCTGTGGATTGAAGACCAAATACAATCAGCTACTTGTTAGCTAAATTTCTTGCAGTGCACACTCCCTGGTGCTAGTTTGTATGAAACTGAACTTCCCCCACTGAGTGAGCAAACAATGAAATAAACAGCAATTGTAGTAAATCCATCCACACCTCCAATCAAAAATACAAGACATATTAACACATAGTCTTTTACACTGGATCCATGGTCATGATTGCAATGAATCTATGTGGGAAATATCAGAAACAGAACAGCTCCTTTGCAGTCAGCATTCACATCACACACCAAGTGACAGTTTAGCACAGTCCTTAATACAATGGAGCTTGGAAGCCTTTTGATAAGAAGGGTCATGATATGCCTTTACCTGAGCCTTTGGCATAGTAGACTTTGTTCTGATGTATACAGCACAACCCATATATCCCCAGTCCCCATCATCCAAGAATGGCAGCACTGTATATAAGAAAACATAGGCACATTGTTACATTTGAAAGTGAGAGGAATTCAATTCTGCACCCTTGGGCAGCTTATGAGATTTTGGTTTGTTGTGAATTGTGCAGGTGGTACTTTAAAGGTTGTTTCTGTTTACTGCTTCAGAGAAATCACTGATGGATTTGTAATGACTTGTAGCATGGTCAAGATTGCTTGTGATCAGGATTTACATCCCATCGAGATGGCCATTTGGGATTCTATGATTACAGTTGTCTTTAATATTTTCTATGTAAGTTGCTGATTGATGTAACTGCTCCTTTAAGGGCCTCACATTGCTTACAACTGGAGCCTGTGCGCTTAGACAGGAAGAAAGAAGCTGCCCACTCTGAGTGTCATAACAGCCATGTTGTATTTCCATTGTGCATTTGTGATTCAGGTGAAGTTAGAAGACAACAGAAGTCACGCTTTACAGAGTGAGTGACAGGTTTGACCTGTTCATTTTGTTGAGCTCCAAAACCTTCATGTCCCTGTTGACTGCACCAGTTTTGTGCTACCGTGTTGCCACCCAAATGTTTCATTTAAGCTTTCATCTCCCAATAATACCCCAGACCCCAGTTTAGCCATGACAACCATGATGGTGTGCTACCCTTACCCCTTACCTACCCCTTCAAAGCCAGGGTGGTTGTGGCCATCAATGACCTTCCTTCCCACAGAAACTCGAGTCCTTTAATGTACTACTGTCTTCCATCCTTCTTTCGTTGAGTTGCCTCCTGTCACAATTATTGTCACCTCCGTACCGCAGTCATGCTGCTGTCAATTCCCATGACTGACTGTCTTACCCAGCTGCATTACTACAGTTGCCCCTGATAACTTGCTTTGACATTCAGTGAACAGACCCTAGAGCTGACCATGGCCCATGCCCTTGACCAACTTGGAACATCAGTCCTGACTCATGAGTAACCAGCCCCCATTGATCTCAGTGGAGCTCTCGGACTCTCATACTACCAATCCCTTGACTGGTTGTGCTGACCAATTGACCATGACCCACTCCCCAGATTCTGGTAATATGGAACCTTGATCCTGACCATCCCAAGTAGCTCACTGACTATGTCTGTGCCCCCGAACTGAGATCAGATGCTGCCCTTGTCTTTGACATGATTCCCTGACTGACAACACTCCCTTTGACTGAGACATACTCCCCTTAAACACTGACCTATGGCCACTTGGTTGAAGCACAAGCAGTGTGTTTGCTGCATAAGTTGCTGGCATATGTTGTAGTGTGGCATTAATGTTGTAAAATGCCATAAAGCTACATTTCCACCTTCTGGACTGATCACTGCTGATAACAATGATAAATTGCCTGTATTTGCAACTGCCTTGTGTACTGTACTCTGAGCCCATAACTTCTGACTGAGGCAAAGTGCAAAAAGCCAAGGCAAGGCACAAGGGCTGTGAACATCCAAATAGCAGCAAAGTGAGTGAGCACTAAGAAAGCCAAGGGACAGCCCCGAGGTGCATCCTGCTGTAATGCATAAGATAGGTGCCTGCCCCTGTGCGTAAACTGCCCTGGTGGCAGCATTGCAATACAAGGTGTCAGTCCTCTCCAAAATTTGGCATTGATGTGTATGATTATTTTAAATGAGTCAGACTTGTGCCATGATGATGTGGTGAGGTTGGTGTATAATCGTTGCCAAATTCTGTGTATGGGAAGTGAGCCCATGTACTGTCTCCTGAGATGTGGGGGAATACTGGCCAAGATGGAGGCCTAGAAGTTCAAGCAATGAACTCAAGTAACCAGGCACTTGCTCACACCTTTGTGTCCACAATTGTCTAGTTTCTCTCCATTTTTGTCTGAGGAAATAGTAACCGGCACAGAAATGAGGTAATAATGAGACGTTGGGTGTAAATAGGCCCCTTGGTGATCACTGGAGCCGTTTTTCTGTTCCAATTAAAACCTGATTTTTTTTTTTCCCCTCACCCTGCAGAATCTAATAGTTTCGATTTTGCCACATTCAGGGTTTGAGAAACTTGTCTTTCACTGATGAGGCACAAATCTTAAAAAAAAAAGTAAGTTTTTTTTTCCTCTCTCTTTGAGATCATTTTGTAGGTGGCAACTGAGATGTATACCCCCTCAATCAGGTATATAGATCAACTTATTTGTTCAATGCTTTCTTTGACCTCAATGCAGCCTACTAACTAGGCGTCACTAAAACGTTGGAAATATCATAAATTGAATAATAGACACTTTTTTAATAATAGTTAAACCTAAAACAAACAATGAGACAACTCTGCTGTTTATTTTCCTTTGCTTCCCACAAACATAGCCACCAGTCTAATCGTAGGCTGCTACATCATTAGGTTTCCTTGGAACCCTGTGCACAAATCAGGATTAGTGTAGTTCTCAGGCACTTTCCGAAAATTCTGCGTGCACCAGATTACATTAATTCTAAAACTTAAAAAAAATACTCTGGATGCTGAAGATCAGAAATAAGACGTGCTCTTTTTGGAGAAACTCCAGCAGCTCTGACAATATTTGTGGACGGTTAAAACCGTTAACATTTCGAGTCCAATCTTGACTCTTTTTTTCGGAACTGACTTAAGTCATACAGGACTCAATCGCTAATTCTGTTTCAGTATTCACAAAATCTGCCGGAGCTGCTGAATTTTCCTAGCACTTGCTCTTTTTATTTAATTACAACAACGCTGTTTTGTTCCGTTTTGGGCACAAAACCGGAAGGGGGCAGCATTAAAACGAAAAGGAGGACAGTCTGTTATGTGAAAAGGTGCATGTTTTAAAGTTCCAGATGGAAGGCGGCCCGTGAGCTACAGCAGCGAGCTGCCCAGTGCACCCCTGCGCTGCACTTCCTCCTGCAGGTACAGACCTGCACCTTCAGCTGCTCTTTCATAGCATTGCAACGCCACCACCTCACAGCAGGAACAATTTGTTGTTTTTAAAAGAAAAACGTTTACCCGTCACTTGAATTTTACATCAATTAAAGCGTAGCCAGAGAAAGACTTCTTTAGTGGGGTAAAACCACTCCGAAAACTGAGCCCGTTCCCCAACCCCAGTGCTGCTGCTGGTTTAGCCACGCACTCTGAGCACCAATATTCAGACACTCGGGGCGATGTTACTATCAAGAATCATTTCCGCATTTGAAGCCCAGCAGAAAATGCACCTTTCCTGTTGGGTAACGTACAGGCTGTTGTGAAACGGAAGTGAAAAAGGGGGAGCGACGTCTCTTTTTTTGAAAAAGAAATCTTCTATAACACTCCCCACCTCCCGAGAGAGACAGCCGGTCCACGCTGGTACAGTGAAAGCAAGTTGCTCGTTGTTATCAATATAGCGGCAAATAATGCCCGTTCAATTGAACGGAGTAAGCGCCTTTACTCGCATCTGATTAATGTGGTACCGTGGCAAGCGGCTTAGGGAAAAAAACAGAAGTCCTATCTTCTGAAACGCTGGTAAGTTCAACTCATTTGATGTCACGTGCCTTGGATATATTGTTCTTTTTTCCCCCCCCGTTGCAATACAAATGAAGTTGTTAAGATCACACATCTAGTGACCGACAAAGTTATGGACAAAGAATTGAATTGGAAATAGTAAGTAATGGATACAACGTCAGTTCTTTTTGTTTTAAAAGGCAGGTATTGTGTAGAAACATTCTTCCAGTGAGAAACGTCGAACATTTAAGACGATGAATTGGCTTTGGCTGGTGTTTTTTTAAAGGAAAACTTCTACGTACGAAGTTTCAATTTTGGAATGCTTTCAGAATCTAACCAGATTTGCTGTTTTTTTAAGAATGACTTTAAATACATCAATACATTACATGAGAGCATTTTAAAGATTAAAAATGCATCATTGCCAATAGAATGCTCGCAAGTAACCTTGGTAATGGTGCTTTTATAAGCAGCCGCAAAAGTCCACTCTTAAAATGAAGCCGTTTTAAGTTAGTCATTTCACAGCTTCGTTGTGCCAGGTTTCAGTCGGGAGCACGTTCACCTCTGAACAGAAATTTCAACCCAGTAATTTGAGCGCATAATTGAGGCGAACACTTCAGTGTCTGTGCTAAAGGAGGTGCTTTGATTTAGATGAGGCACGAAATCAAGGCCTTGTGAACCCACCCAGGTGGATATACAGAATCCCGCAGTACTATTTAAAGAACAGCAGGGGAATTCCCTCCCTCTTAACTGACATTTATCACTCCACCAACATCAATCATGAAAAGCAGGCTTTCGGTTGTTTTTTCATTGCAGTTTTTCTGACCCTAATGTGTATAATTTGACTGCTTTGATTCCCCACATTACAACCGTAAATACACATTTGAAACCTTTAATTAGCTGGGAACCAATTTTTAACGTCTCAGCTTGTGACAGATGGTAGAAAATCCAGGTTACTTACTGCCTAAAGAAAGGGATGTGGAGGCAAGCAATTCTTGCTGCACCTCCATCAACGTATTGACCAGGCGACTCGTTTGCTTTAAATGTAATCAGTATTGACAGCAATTTCTCCTATACCTCCATACCAATGCTATATCTCCGAAGCCCAGCCAATTAACATGTCCTTCTCATGCTGTATAAATTGTTTCCATTCCAAAATTTCTTGCATATCAGCGCTGAGGAGAGCCGGCCAAAGGTTTGACTTTATTCATCTTTTGAGCAATGTTTTCTTGGGAAAAAAGTACAGTTGATACAAGTGAGACGAATGTACGCTTAGTTAGATCAATTCTGCGAGCAGACACTGCCGTCAGTTTAAAAAAAGATCTTGCTCCAACCACCATTTTGAGCAATGTTTTGTGTGAATATCTCATAGGCTGTATGTCCCAGTTTTGGCTAATTAATTCCAGCAGCATGTTCTTTCCGCTGTTCACGATAGGCAGAGTCCAGACAGTACTCAAGCGGCTAGTGCTTGCTAAAGCCACAAGAAAAACTCCATTGTTTGGTGCAATTCAGTGATTGGGCAGCACATACAGAATGATACCAAGTGCGCAATATCTACAGTAACAGCCAAGTTAAGATAATCAGTTGCGTACACAACATGGCTCATTTGTATTTGATAGAAGTGATATGCCCAAGCAAACTTTTTACTAACCGGCACCTATGGGACCAGGAGTGTGCTGGTTGATCAAATATTCTGGTTAATTAAAAGGTACACATAACCACAGTAAACCCTGACCAAGCGAAACTTTGAGATATTGACACACCACCTAAAATCTATGTAAAAACGCAGTAAGTAATAGAAATGTAATGCAAGGGATGTACATATCAGTATAGCACATACCTTATTTACATCATAAATATTCAGACATTGCAGTAGATCATGGTATTTGAGGTATATAGTTTTTGCTGGTTTATCAAGAATGCTGGTTGATAAGGTGCCAGTTAAAAACAAAGTTTGCTGTATTTATACACAGGGACTCGTTCCCTGCTAACAAGGAATATTTTCAAAGCTTGTGGCTATTTTGAATTATCCAGGATCTTGGCAAGCATAAAGCTCACTGCTTTCCTTATTGCAACACCTTGGCCAATTGGTCGATTTACCAACAGGTCAGCACCCTTTTCTCCTGTATTATAAGTTGTTGTTAATATTTGAAATTTGGCGTTCTTGCATTTGTCCTAATGAGTGCTGGACAAAAAGTTTCATCAAGATGTCTCTCTTTTTCAGCCATATTCAAATACTGTACGAGCTAGGAGGGCAAAATGGAGAAATGAAATAGCTTTGGCAAATAAGGTTAAGGATAATCCAAAGAGATTCTCCAAGTACATTAAGAGAAAAAGATCAGCGAGGGAGAGAATAGGACCCCTTAAAGATCAACTAGGTCATCTGTGTGTGGAACCACAGAAGCTGGGAGAAATTTTCATGTCCGTATTTACTGTGGAGAAATACATGGAGGCTAGGGAACTTAGAGAAATAAGAATTTGATGTTTTGAAAACAATCGACATTACAGGAGAGGAGATGCTGGAGGCCTTAAAAACATAAAGGTGGATAAATTTCTGGGACCTGATCAAGTTTATCCTCGGATGTTGCAGGGAGCTAGGGAAGAAATTGCAGGGCCCCTAGCAGAGGTATTTGTATCATCTACAGTTACGGGTGAAGTGCTGGAGGACTGGACGATTGCTCATGTCGTACCCTTATTTAAGAAAGGCTGTTCAGAGAAGCCCTGGCAACTATAGACCGGTGAGTCTGACATCAGTTGTGGGTAATTTGTTGGAGGAGATTCAAGAGATAGGATTTACATGCATTTGGAGAGGCAAAGACTGATTCGGGATAGCCAGCATGGTCCCACAAGGTAAACTGGTGAGTAAAGTTAGATCACGTGCGATTCAGAGAGAGCTTACCAATTGGATACAAAATTGGCTTGATGGTAGGAGGCAGAGGATGGTAGTGGAGGGTTGTTTTGCAGACTGGAGGCCTATGACCAGCGGTATTCGGCAGGGATCAGTGTTATTTGACATGGAAATGATTTGGATGAGCATTTAGTGTGCATGGTTCGTAAGTTTGCAGATGACAGTGAAATTGGTGGTATACTGGTTAGTGAAGAAGGTTATCTAAGATTACAAAGGCATCTTGATCAATTGAGCCAATGGGCTGAGGAGTGACAGATGGAGTTTAATTTGGATAAAAGTGAGATATTGCATTTTGGTAAGATGAGCAAGGGCAGGATTTATACAGTTAATGGTAGGGCTCAGGGTAGTGTTGCCACACAGACCTCGGAGTTCAGGTATATAGTTCTTGGAAAGTTGTGTCACAAATAGACAGGGTGGTTAAGGTGTTTAGCATGCTTGCCTTCGTTGCTCAGACCATTGAGTATAGGATTTAGGACGTCATGGTTGCGCAGGATATAGGTGAGGCCTCTTCTAGAGTACTGTGTACAGTTCTGGTCACCCTACTAGAGGAGAGGTATTATTAAATTGGAGAGGGTTCAGTAAAGATTTACAAGGTTGTTGCCAGGAATGGAGGTACTGAGTTATAAGGAGAGACTGGATAGGCTGGGACTTTTTTCTCTGGAGCACAGGAGGTTGAGGGGTTACCTTTACAGAGGTTTCCAGAATCATGATGGGCATAGATAAGATGAATAGCAAGGGTCTTTTCCCTAGGATAGGGTAGTTCAAAACTGGAGGGGATGTTTTTGAGATGAGAGGAGAAAGATTTAAAAGGGACCCAAGGGGTAACTTTCCTTGGACACAGAGAGCAAAGAATGTGAACACATTAGACAGAGTGCAGAAATGATTAATAAGATTGGTTCTAGGAATGAAAAACTTCCGCAATGAGGATAGATTGAGGCAGTTGGGACTGTTCACTTTGGAGAGAAGATCTCATAGAGGTTTTCAAAATCAAGAGTGGGCTGGATAAAGTAGATTGCAAGGAACTGTTCTCGCTTTTAACAGGAATAAGAACAAGATGGCAAAGATTTAAATTGATCTGCAATAGAAGCAAGGCTGAGGTGAGGAAAAATGTTTTCACTCCGCAAGTGATTAGGGTATGAAATGCACTGCCTGCAAGTGTGGTGGAGGCATGTTCAGTTGAGGCATTCAAGAGGGCTTTCAATGCTTATTTGGATAGAAATAGTATACAAGGATATGGTGAGAAAAGCAGGAGGCTGGAATGAATTATGATACTCATTTAACAAGCTAGTGCAGGCAAAATGGGCTGAATGGCCGCTTTCTGCATTGTATCATTTCTGTGATTCCATCTATTTTTGTATCATCTGAAAACATGACGATAGTACATTCAAAGACACTAAAGAACTGCTGATGCTGGAGGCGGAGATAACACCATGTGGAGCTGGAGGAGCACAGCAGGCCAGGCAGCATCAGAGGAGCAGGAACGTTGACGTTTTGGGTTGGGACCCTTCTTCAGAAAATAGTACATTCACTCTGTTATCCAATTCATTAATATATATTGTAAACAGCTGTGGTCCCAGCACTGATCCTGTGGCACTCCACTAGTTACAGGCTGTCATTCTTAAAAATTCCAACTCTCTGTCTTCTATTAGTTAGCCAGTCCTCTATCCATGCTTCTTTACTACCCCAAAACCTTGGACTGTTGTCTTATTATGTAGTCTTCTGTGCGGTACCTCATCAAATGCCTTTTGAGCATCCAAACATACTACATCTATTCATTCCCATTTATCTATCCTGTTTGTTACCTCCTCCCAGACTTGTAATACAATTTTCAGGCATAATTTCCCATTCATTAAACCATGCTGACCCTACTTGATTTTATGTATTTTTAAATGGCCTGCTATTATGTCCTTTATAATAAAGTCTCTAACATTTTCCCAATAACTGACATTAAACTAACTCGTCTTTTCTTTTTGGCTCCTTTCCGATAGAATGAGTGTTACATTGGAGTTTTCCAATCCTCTGGGACTTTTCCAGAATCTAAGATTCTTGAACAATTAATACCAGTACATTCAGTATCTCTGAATTACTTCCTTTAAACTCTTTGGATGCCACTCAT